GGGAGTGAGCGGGAGAGGGAGTGAGCGGGAGAGGGAGTGACAGAGATGGTGTGAGTGGGAGAGGGAGTGAGAGGGAGAGAGAGGGAGGGGGAGTGAGAGGGAGAGGGAGAGGGAGTGAGAGGGAGAGGGAGTGAGAGGGAGGGTATGAGCGGGAGAGGGAGAGGGCGTGAGCAGGAGAGGGCGTGAGCGGGAGGGAGAGAGAAGGTGTGAGCGGGAGAGGGAGTGAGAGGGAGAGGAAGTGAGAGGGAGAGGAAGTGAGAGGGAGAGGAAGTGACCGGGAGAGGGAGAGGGAGAGGGAGAGAGGGAGAGGGAGGGAGAGGGAGAGGGAGGGAGACGGAGAGAGTGATAAGTGTGTAGAACGATTAAGTAGGTTATTAAACACATTAGTAGCTGCACAATTGGCACTCTCTGTTTGTCTTTTTCAATCAGTTTTTGTCTTTTATGTCCCAAGATATCTTTTTGCTGCAATCAGTCACAAGGAATCATTCCACATTTTGAAAATCCTGCTTGCCTCTACTTAAAATTTTCCAAAGTTCCCATTGGCCCTCAGTAGTTTTCTTGCGAATGTGTTCGGACTAAATACTCTGTGCCTCAATAAACTACAGGCTCTGAGGGTTAGCCTGTGCTGCCAGGGTCTGGGAGTCTGCCAATGTCTTGATTGCCCCAGGAATGGAATAAATTCCCATATTCGCCCTGTGTCAAAGTAACTGAACTCCGATCTATCCCCCTCCCTGAGCCTCCCAGGATGAAAGATCGAGTGGCCAATTCTCCCGGATTGTCTTGTTGTCTTCAGGAACTGATCGCCAGACCCTGCTGTGAGGAAAACATTAGGAGGAAAAACACTGGGGGCAACAGAAAATAAAGTTGGAACTTTATCTTCATTTTCCTTGAATATTTTTTCTTGATAGTTGTGAAAAAATGAAAGGTGATGGGGGGAGGGGGGAGGTCTTACCAGGAGTAGAGAATCAACCAGTTCAGTCACAAAGAGCTTCCTCACCATGCAATTACCTGCAAGCTAACAGGACACAGCCAAGGTGGCGGGAGCATGGGGGCAGTCGGCTGGAGGTCATGTGATGGCATCTCCAGGCCCATGAAGATTTGGCAACCCTCGACCAAGATAGAGAAAACGAGGACAACGATCTGGTGAAAGGATTGCAGTTTTAAGCAGAGATCGTGTGACTCACTTTAGTGGGTGACACTGGTCACAGGCAAAAAGCGGGCGCTCACAAATCTGCCACCTGGTTGACGTAGAAAATAGGAGCTGGTGTAGGCCATTTTGGCCCTTCGAGTCTGCTTTGCCATTTAATAGGATCATGGCTGATCCAACTCAGTCTGGTGGCCTGTAACTCCTTGGAAACATTCAATG